GTAAAAAAAAAAACCCAACACTTTAAAAATGTTACATTGAATAAAAATAGCCAGCAATGAAAAAAATGGACAAAGCCAGTACTAAATGACAGATATCTGAATTGTCTGATATTAAATTAGGCATCCTAAAAATGCTTCAAGATATTATGAAAAAATTTGAAGCAAGTGAAAAAGCACAAAGTCTCCATAAAGAAAGCCAAGATACAAAGAAAAAATACAGAAATTTTAGAACTGAAAGCTAAAATAACTTGAATAACTTGACAAACATGCTAAATAATAAAATAGAAGGAAAAGAAGAACTTGAAGTCAGAACAATAAAATGAACCTATCTGAACACAGAGGAAAAATAGACTTAGAACTTAAAATAAAAATAAACATTGTCTTTGTGACTTTTAGCCCCAAAAGATCTAACACTAGATTGAGTGCCAGAGAAAGGAAACAGTGTTGGCACTAAAAAGTTATTTGAGGAAATACTGGCTGAAAAAGTCCCCAAATCTGTCAAAAGTCATAAACATGCAGATCTAATAAACTAAGCAAAATCCAAAGAAGAAATTCGAAAGAAATCAGTGTCAAAACACATCAAAGTCAAACTTTTGAGAATTACAAAGAAAAATTGTGACTAGCAAGGGAGAAACAATACCTTTCCTATAGAGGAAAACAGTTCAAGTAACAGCAGACTTCTCATAAGAAATAATGGGAGGAAAGAGGAAATGGTAGGACCCCTTTCACTGCTTGAAAGAATCAGTTCAGTGTTCTATATTCAGTAAATATGTTCTTAAAGAATAAAATGAAATCCAGACATTCTCAGATGGAGGAAAGTTATAAGAATCTATTGCCAGGGGCTGGGAAGGTGGCTCAGTGGTAGAGCGCTTGCCTTGCAATGCATCAGGCCCTGGGTTCGATTCCCCAGCACCACATAAGCAAAAAGGAAAAAGCTGGAAGTGGCACTGTGGCTCAAGTGGTAGAGTGCTAGCCTTGAGCTGAAGAGCTGAAGGACAGCACCCAGGCCCAGAGTTCAGGCCCCACAACCGGACCCCCCCCCAAAAAAAAGAATCTATTGCCAGATTTCCTAACTTAAATGAATAGATAAAAAGAAAGAAAATGATGTGATAGAATCTTGGAACATTAGAAAGAAAGAATATGGGGGCTGGGAAGGTGGCTCAGTGGTAAAGCGCTTGCCTTGCATGCCTGAGGCCCTGGGTTCGATTCCTCAGCACCACATAAGCAAAAAAAAGAAAAAAAGCCGGAAGTGGTGCTGTGGCTCAAGTGGTAGAGCGCTCGCCTTTAGCTATAGAGCTGAGGGACCGCGCCCAGGCCCAGAATTCAAGCCCCATGACCAACAAAAAAAAAAGAAAAAAAAAAGAAAGAAAGAATATGGAACATACAGAAAATGGGTAAATATAATAGACTTTCTTTCTCTTCTTAAGTTTCCTAAATTAGCTTTCTTTGATGGTTGAACACAATCTAATTTGGTTTTTCTTCAACGTGTGCAGAAAAAAATACTTATAAACACAAGAGACTGAGCCAAGTATAGTAGCTCAAGGCTGTAATCCTACCTTTTTGGGGAGGTAGAGGTTGGGATATTGTGGTTCAAGGCTGAGATTCCATCTAGTTAATGGCTAGGCATGATAGCACTCACCAGATCCTAGCAGTATAGGGAAGCAGATAGAAGGATCATAGTCCAAGCCTGCCAGGGCATAAAGTGAGATCTCACCTAAAAAAGTAACCAATAAAAATGGCTAATGGAATAGGCCAAGCTGTAGAGGGCTTGGCTAGCAAACACTAAGTCCTGCATTCAATCCCCAGTATTGCCAAACAGACAAGCAAACAAACAAGGAGGGTGAAGACATGGATGCAGAAGAAAGATTTCTATACTTTGCCCCAATTTGTAATGTCAATATCAGCAGATTGATACGTTAGGCACATATATTAAAACATCTAAATGAAGCATTAAAAAGTCAACTAAAATGCTACATATAAATTAAAATAGAATTCTAAAATCATGTGCAAGTAATCTATAGGAAGATAAAAATAGGAAACAGAGTGAAGAAGCAGAAAAGAAAAATTAAATGTCAGACTTGTTGGCCTCACTGTATCAACTATTAATATATACATTACAATATATTACTATATATAGTATATATGGTTTAAATATACTATTTATAAATATAAATTAACTGATTATACAAGAAATCATGAGCCAATTGCGAAGTGTCTGCAAAACCTCACTTCAAAAATAATTCAAGAACAAGAATTAGGGTTAGGAAAAAGATATACATGTGAACATTAATAAAAAGAAAGTAGTGTATCAGAAAAAGCATTTCAGAGTAAATAAAAGTCTTACGGGAAAGGAATCTTAGGAGTAAGAATGCAAAAGAGATCAAGGTACCATCCAACAGCAGGATCCTATTAAATCTTATGGAATACTCCATTGAAAAAGGGCAAAACACACATTCTTTTTAAGTACCCATAAAACATCTACTAAGATAGACCATATTCTGAGCCATTAAACTACTTGAACAGATTTAGAAATCATTGAAACCATACACAATGTGTTTTCTGAGCACAGTGGACTCAAAGTAGAAATTAGTAAATGAAAAACAACTATAAAACTTCCAATCACCTATAAACTAAATAACATTTCTAAATATTTCAGTTTGAAGTCTCAAGGGAAACTTAAAAACACATTCAAGTGATTGTTTCTAACACTTTTATAAGATTATTTCTTTGTTGCTTTGTATGTCCCTCCCCCATGGTATAACCCCTGCTTTCACTGTATTTGATGTCGGTATAATTCGTGGAGGGGAAGGGGAAAAACAAATCATTTAAATAGGGATACAGGTGGACCCATTGCAACAATTAGATGTACAAGTCGTTATTTTGAAAACGAACTTTACAACTTTGGTGCAGGGCGGGGGGGGGGAGCGGGGAGGATTGGGTGGGAGGGGGCAGGAGGAGGATGGGAAGGGGTGGGAAGGGGAAACAAAGGAGGAGGCTACAATGCTTGATAGGAAATGTACTCATTATCTTGCACATGTAATTGTAACCCCTCTGTACATTCTTTTCACAATAAAAATATATATAAAAACACATTCAACACCCAAAAATATTAATACAAATACCAAAAGCCATGGTACACAGCTTAAGGGAAAACTACAGTGAAATGCTTATATTAGAAGAAAGGTTACCTGCCAAATACCAACATCCATGAAAAAGGAACAGAACAGGAGACCAAGAGTAATTGGGGGAATAAACCTTTCTCAGAGACTACAAACCAAGAGTCTTTCCTTCTGAACTATATTCCCTAAAATATACCACCACTAAACCTGCACTAAGTCTAATGGCCTTACAACCATTAAAATAATGGAGAGAAAAGTTCAGCCATTAAAATCGTTCTTTGTATTTACGAAGTAACATTGGACGGCTATGTAACTCTGGGCCCCAATTTCCTCCTCTGTAAAACTGACTCTGTTTTGGTTGGTTGTTTAGTAGTGCTGGCATAGAACCCAACAATACAAGCACTCTATCACTGAACTACCCTATTCTAATCATCTCTAAAGTTGTAGTGCTCTTTGTTCCTAACTTCAGATTGTGATTATAAATGAATTAATACATATTAGGTGCCTAGTATTGTTTCTAGCATGCCATAAGCACTTTTTTTTCAAACATGATATATTTTCAGTGGCTGCATCCCCTAGACATAAATTTTATATGGGTCCATTTGTTTGAAATCTATCAATTTCAATTTCCTTTTAGGAAACTACAACCTAAATAGATAAATCCTATAATTGATGTGGACAGCCTGTGGAACAATAGGAACGCTCATTCATCTGGTGGTAGTTTTAGTTGTGTTTCTGAATACTCTGTTGTATGCCATCCATCTATTTCTGAATCTTTAGGGTATGTCTACAATCCAGATTGCTGTAGCTTTATAATGAGCCTGTAAATAAATAACTGTATGATCTCTAGATTTGTTCTTTTTTTTGTCCAAAAGGCTATTCTAGGTCCTTTGCATTTACATACAAGTGTGAGAAAATTTGCTAATTTCTACTTGAGTTTCAAGTTATTAACTAGGGTTTCATTACATCTGCCTATTAGAACAATTTGACACATAAAAAATGTTGAATTTGCTGATCTATAATTGTCATGTCTATTCGTTTGTCACCTTTATTGTCAGCATTGTTTTCTGTGTGTAGCTTATGTGTGTAAAAATTATCATTAAGTGTTCATATTTTCTAGGCCATTAAGTATGCTATTGGTATTTAACTTCAATTTCCAACTGATATTTGATCATTCACAGAAATACTAGCTATGATAGTGTCCTTAAACTTTTCCTTATATACAACCTGTCAGCTAAATCTGTTTTTCCTCCTTTCCAGGTGAGGTCCCTTTCATTTGTCTGTGTCATTGTGACTCACTCCACTGGGAGGATAGTACATGAATTTCTGGAAAGGGGTGGGCACAGAGGGCATACATCTACACAATTTTTTCTCCCTTGAACAAAAAAGCCTCAAAGAAGCAAACCTAATTCAGTAATATAGAGTAAATTGGAAACCACAACCTTTGCAACTATTTAAATTACAAACTTCCAGTGATAGAATGAAAGCCCCAGTGCTCATAGCTATGATCTCAGTGATACATTGTATAGTTTTTAATCCTCTCCTTTCTTACCTTTGCTCCCTCATTGAATGCCTTGGATTGTCTAATAAACTCAAGACTTGTTTCTAGTTCTACCTTAAAGAGTATTCAAAGGAAACAGGTATCAGAAATGGATTGCATTTTCTCAATACTTCTTTAGAAAGCTCACAAATCACTTACAGATTGCTGTTTTAATATACATTATCTGTTTCCCCAAACATTTCCATCTACAAATCCATCTTACTTTCCTGGGTTGGCTATGTTCTTGTATTCTCACTGGAAAACTTTGATTAGCTAACAGACCAATCTTATTCTTTGTCCACCCCATCCTTCTTAATAACTAGTAAACAGATGACATTCAGTTCATTGAATTTCCAGTTTATTTAATAAGAGTTTCTAGGCATTTTATTTATTTCTCAAAACAAGTTTCTAAAGTATTATTCCCATTTTACAAACAAAAACAAAAGCTCAGGGAGAACAGTGCCAGTAAACTGCCAGAATAAAAATTCAAGGACAGATTGCAAAGCTCATGCCTGCTCCATTATACTACACACTTACACACACACACACACACACACACATTCATTCATTCATTCATTCATTCATTCATTCACTATTCATTGATAATAGTTCCCCCATATCCTGGTACAATCCAAGACACTATTAAGAAGCAACCTTCCGAATAAATTCCTTCTCTTGGAAAGGAAATTGAAGATCAGATTTTCTGGTTATGTAGACACAAACAAGGGAGTATCTTGTTTGTGAGGTTCTGTTTACATGAATTTGAGAGCTGGCTAAGTAGGCTGCATAACATCCACATTATACAGACCAAATATGGTTTGCAATAGGAATTAGTAGTTTCCACTGCAGAAAACTAAAATGATAGGAATAGCTAAAGCACATATGCTAGAAAAAACCATGACTTTGAAAAGCACAGGGTTCAAATGCTGTCAAATGCTGATGCTGCCACTTAAGTCTCATCCACAGTGTTTCTAAGTATTTCTAAATCTCAGCATCCTCATTATAAAAATAATGGGCTTTTTCACCTATCTTGCTACTGCAGGCACAAAGCAGGTAATCAGTAAGTGCTAATCTTCTGTCCTGGCAGTGATAATTATGTAGACTTAGTGAAGACACAGAATACCAGAGATGAACAGGAATGCCTCACACTTCCATGGAGTTGTGTTATGAAAAGCAGTGGCTCCCAGAAGGGTTGTAAGGCAGCCAGAATCAGTACTTGAGGAGGCACCACAGCTGGTGATGAAATGGATGTGAGGAATGACTGCACACATCAAGCCTGGGCTCGGAGGGTGACGTGATGATAACAAAGAGACGCTGGCAGAGATTCTGTTTGCTGGAGGGGAAACAATGGTTCATTTTGAACATGTGAAGTTTGAACACTTGAAAGAGTATCTGTTAGGAAAGAGGCTTTACCTGAAATTGTAATACCTAAATTCCTTTAACAACAAGGTATGTTACTCCCATAGTATAAGTCAGTAGAATCACAAACAGAGAAAGTACAAATTGTATTTATCAGTGATATACTGAGAGGGATCCCTCCCCATCTAGGCTCAAATTCTATTCTGTATGGATAGCAAATAAAATTCCATCTTTTAAAGAAATACCCTCTAAATTAAAAAGAAAAAAAATCCTCAAAAAAATACCTCAATCTCAAAGCCTATTCATTCCTTCAGTTGCTAAAAGGCTCTAGTTACTGATATGAGCTATGTTAAATGGATATGTACACATAGATAAACCGGTAGGTACTTTAAAGATCTCAACTTATAAACTGTATTTCCAATTCATACATAGGAGCAGAACAAAACTTTTAACAATTCATCAATGGGATGTCCCATTTATTGGTTGCTAACTAAGTCAATTAACACAAGTTCAGTATCCTTTATTGGAAATACTTGGGACCAGAAATACTTGGGATTTGACAATTTTAGGAGGGAGTCAGAATCTTTGCTTTATATACCGTAAGTATGAGATGTAAATTTACATGATTCATATACAATGTGACCATGCTGTGTAGAGGTAACTTCATGAACCTGTATTTTGACCATGAACCTGTACTTGAGGTCTTATCCTCTCAGCACTCAAAAGTTTTGGCCCTTGGAGGATTTCAGACTTTTGAATTAAGGATGGCATCAAGAACAAATGCGCATTACTTTAACCATGTTCACCAGAACTGAGGGAGATGAGTACTATGGGATGCAAAGGTCTTCTGACTTCCTGACAAGAATCTAGGCACCACCACTATTCCCAGGTGAGGGATGTTACTGCTCCATTTCTGTAAAAATGAAGACACAAATTCAATGTCCAGATATATTATTTTCAACACAAATGAAAGATTATACTATCAGTCATGAAGCAGACATTGGCAAATTTACTCCACAATGGAATATAGGCACTATTTTTTGTATTTTAATATGAAAATTTAAGCAGCTACCCACAATATGACCTCTGCTAAAGCTTTCCATTCACCAATAAATTTTTTACAAAGTTAACGCATCACAAGTAAATACATAGGATTATATTTATGGTTATCTTTGGCACATTTGTCAAGTTGGAGAATCTCAAAGGCAATAAAATTGGACTTCTTTGCACATTCTTTTAATCTTTACATTAAAACATAAGGCCGCAAAAAGGCAAGATGAAATTTTAGGATATGAGGAATAGTTTTAATAAAATTTTACATACAGTACCTTACATATAGAACAGTGTGTTTGCAAATTTAAATAATATCTGAATGTACAGTGGCATGAATTCTTATCAAAGATAAATTCAAGTTCTCTGTCTACCAGTTCTGAAATGCATTTACAGATTGCTAGAACTGATAAACAGAATGAGGCATAAAATATTCAAGTGTTATATGTCATCAAATGGCCTCCTCTTAACAATCTCAAAAATGTCAAAACCTGTACATACATTTTTAATTTTTAAAAAGTCTGTTAAAAGGCAACATTTCATGTTAACCACCAATTTGTAGAGTCTATAGTAATAAAACTAGATATGTGTAATATAAATATGTGTTGGTTATGTACATGTTGAGTGTTTAAAACAAGCATACACACTTACGCATACCTGCTTATGTAGCACTGGGGGCACACACAACTCATGTGAGGACTGGCAGACAGTAGGACCTAGGCTCAAAATCCAGCAAGAGCTAAGACAGCAACTTAGTTGCCTTTGGTTTCAGAAAATCTGTTCATTTGCGATCAAAGCTAAAAGTCTGAGTGCATGTGTATTATTCAAAAATAAAATTCATCTTCTGAAATGAACCTTTTCCAGTATTCCACTACTAGCTAGCAGTTAAAAAAATCCACAGCCACAAATTATTTGATATATTTTTCACTCCTCATCCCAGCTGAGGTTATTTATATTTTTTTTCTGAAGGCAAACACCAAGCATATCCAGGATCAAACAGTTATGTTGAACCTGAACACTGCCATTTAACTATATATGTGATATATGTGACAAAAAGGCTTCGGATGAACTCATGGTACTATGTAAGACTCGGGGTGTGACAATGCCCACAATATTTAAATCCTCTGTCCAGCAGCAGCATCAACATTTGGCACATGGGATCTTTCTGCAAGCTAGTTTGTTTTTAATAAGCTTAGTGCCTGCAGTAAATTCCAATTATTTGGTGCTTGTTTTTTTAAATACATTCATAATGAAGTAAGAATTCCACAATTGTTTTTCTCAAAAGTGAGACTTCTAAACTGTCAGTTTACTGATTAAATACATTCATCACCCAAGAAACAACTCATGATCCTATGGAAGTTTAAATAACCTAAATTTCTGTGCAGCTGGATTCAACTGCTGAGAAGGCAGTTCTTAGAGCAACCTTGTAGAACTCTCCAGAATTTAAATTTCCATTAATTTTAATTTTGGCCAAATGCTGGTTTATAAATATGGATCTTTCTATAAAAACTATATAAACGCACCATATTTCTTTGTACAGGTATCTTCAATTTCATATAAGCAGCTATTCAAAATTCCTGCCAATTTGATCCCCTTAGTATAGATTATATTCTAATTCTATTTCGCTGATCCTTGGCATACAAAACATTGTCATTTGCAGCTTGCTTATATTTTTAATATTCACTTGATAAAGTTGCTCTTTTTCTTTCAAGGTGCCTTCCTATTGACATTACAAATCAGTAAATGACCAAACATCACTAAGATTTTTAAAGTACACACTTAGTAATCATGTGAATAATAAAAATGATTGGACTGGAGAGCCATACTCTTGTCACTAAGTTCACCACTGTCATACAGAGCAAAGAGCTGCTATTTGCTGTACTTTGCCCATGTCGATTAGGAGCTGTTTTATGTGACGTTTAAGTTGGGGCAGTCTTGCGAGAGGATCTGGTGGCTCCAACTCCCCGGTAAAATCAAGCCAGCTTTCCAGAACTAAAAGAAAGAGAAGAGCACATTTAAATAATTTCTGGACGAATGGTTAGAAAATGGTGTCATTAGCAGGTTGGAATAGTGACTAAGAGTTCATGTTTTTTGTCTTCAGAAGGCAAATATACTCAAGCCATTTTGTGTAAGGCTCAGTGGTGTCTGTACCCACTCCACAGTGATATAACATAGTCACTCTGGCATTACCAATTTGTTTTTCAATGCTAGGAATTGATTCTGAAACCCTGTGCTCACTGGACAGGTGCTCTACAATTGGGCTAAATTATCAGCTCCATGTTTCCTTTATATATAAATTAGTTTCATTTTTAATTTCCCCTTCTATTCTTTTTCTGGAATAAGAAACAACAGCTCCTTGTGTCTGACCCAAGCTTTCTACTAATGTATTTTAAATCACCTCTATCCAGTCTTCCTTTTTCACAAAAGAGTTGGTGATTTCTATTGACCTTTTTAGCTTTACTATTTCATCACTATAACTTTTTTAATGCATGTACATTAAAATTCTAGTTTTATAGTCTCCTTTGAAAATATGGAATCAAGTCAGGCTGTATTTTATTTCTTCAAAAATTTACATCAGACAGTAAAATAATCCTATAACCAAGATAAAACCCCAGTGGAACATGCTTCTGCAAGGGTGTACCATCATCATGGGGGATAAAGAAGGCAGGAGTTCAACCTCGGAGAAGTGAGGTGTTCCATGCTCTTACCAGAACAATAGAGAAGGAAGGTAAGAACACAAGAGTCAAAACGAATAAAAGAAACATGGATTGTGAATCCAGTAACCCAACTTATTCTGATTTCTCAGATATAAAATTTGTCTTGCTTAAATTTTGAGTTCCTAAGTAATGGTAATTTTTTATGATACTATTATGATACATTAGAACATCTGTATGCAAACATAAGGCTTAGCTATTTAACTCAGGAAGCTGTTCAATTCCATGTACCCAATACTAACCAAAGTAAAACCATATGGTCACCATATTTTCCCTCATATGTCAAATGTGCTTATACTTGTTATGCTGATTCCCTGAGAGATAATGGCTCAATAAAACTATAAATATTCAGTAAATGTTGTGTATTGAGCTTGGCAGGTGATAAGCAGTTTTTAATAAATATCCATCTCACAAAAATAAACATTAAGATAATACCCAATCACCGTGCCTTGAGCCTAAAAGACCCTATATGGGCTAATATAGTGCAAAGGGAGAGGGAAGGCTCTGTAGTTATGGAGAGAAGCTGTACTTTTCATCATATAATTAAATAGTTTTAAACAACTTCTTTGCAATGGCATTGAACATATTCTATTAACTGCATCTTAGTTCTTTGTTAAATTACCATCCATTTCTTTTTCTATGAGGTCCATCCTGCTGGTGACTTCATTCTGCACATTTTCTATGTGTGTAAGGAGATTGAGCTGCCACTGAAGATGTGAGTCTCCTGGGTCTTCAGTGCCTCTTTTATCATTATAAACAGATGCCTTATTTCCTAAAGTTGGGTTCTTCTTCACAAGACCAGTAGAAAAAACAAAACATACTAAATTGGTTGAAAAGCAATGTCAACAGGGAAAGGTACATTAAAAAACCTCATTACCTACTATAATCTGTGCAATACAATTTGATTCCTAAGGATGTCTTTAAAGAAAAGTTCAGGTACATAATCAAATTACATGCAGTGGTCCTTTAAAGTACATTTCTCTCTCTACAAAGCGTATGTGTTTCAATGATACTTGATGAATTAAGTCAATAATCCTATTTTGCTCTAATGGGCCAATTTGGAACATTTCCTTCTTCAAGTAATTTCAACTGGTAACATTAATGAAGTAAGGGCCAAGTAATGGAAAAACAAAAGAACTGTTGAATACCAATACAAAGTCTAGTTCACAAAAGAGTGGACTTTACTCTTGTAGTTACATCAAGAAGATATGGTAAGTATCTAAAGTATCTAAGTAGTCTAAAAGCTTCAAGAGTGCAAGCTGTGCAAGCTTATGCCTGTCATTCTAGCTACTCAGGAGGTTGAGATCATAGTTCACAGACAGCCTGGGGAGGAACGTCTGTGAGACTCTTACCTTCAATGAACCAACAGAAAACTGGAAATGGTGCTGTGGCTCAAGTTGTAGAGTGCTATCTTTGAGCTGAAGACTTCAGCTCAGGCACAACACCCAGGCCCAGAGTTCGAGCCCCACAGCTGACAAAACACACACACACACACACACACACACACACGCTGCTACACACATACAGAGAACTTGCATTTGCATTAAATAAATCATTGGAGGTATACTAATTTGACAACAAATATTTGAAACAACTTTCATAACAGCTTTTCAAATTGTTATATCCTTACCTGTAACAATTACTTGGAAAATAATTTTAAAGTGGCCATGGTAATTGAAAATCAATAGAAAATAAAAGACGTAACTTATCAAAGGTAATCTCAACAAATAGGAAACAATATTTACAGATATTCAATATGCACAAGAAATTCAGCTTCTTACATACTGGAATTAACGTGCACTTACAAATATGCTGTTATTTAAAAGATAAAGTGTTATGTTGTCTAAAATACATTAAAAAGGCATTATTATAACCATACTTATTTTCATATTCTTTCACATAGACACTTTCATCTGGAATACAAGGTACCTCACTAGTTTTAGAGGCATTTAAGTATGCTCATAAAATTCAAACTTTTATTAGTGTAACCATTTTTTTAATTATACCAATTCTGAATTAGGTATAACTAATGTTTAAATGGATGGAATTTTCGAGCAGAACAAAGAATATGTGTCTTTTACAAGTACTGCTTCATGCAGTTTAGTATTATATACTTTCCATCTGTTGTTCCAGATGAACCTGTTTTACCTTTTCTGACATTCCATGCTCTTTTGCTGAATACTGGGAATGTCTTGCAGCTCCCAGGTAGAATTCTTGCTCTTCTTCAAAACTGCTAACATCGTCATCAGAGCTCCCAGGATCTACAAGAGATTTGTGGTCCTGACCAAAACTTTGTGGCTTTTGATAGCTGTGCTCGCTTGTTATGTAAGTTCCTTCCATTCTCAAGGGAAAACGAGGTGGCTCTTTATGGTTTTGTACATGTTTCTTTTCTTCTAAATTAGCTGTGTCTTGAACTGTGATTTTTTTCTCCACTCCAGCTATTATTTGATCTTGGTCCTTTCGTTTCCCAGAACAAGCCCACAGGTGAAGGTCAGGATGATGTTTATTCCTTAAAACAAAAGTGAAGAAAGAGAAGTAAAGGAAAACATAAATAAAAAAAAAACAAACCTGGTACAAACTTAAGACCATAATAAATTTCAAGTCCAAGTTAGTAGGAGGTTAGGAGCCATGACAAGAGAAAAGATTTTCTTTAAGCTAACTCACTCCAGTGTTTCATCCAAAATCAGATTCTCTCAATTTTAAAGAAATAATACCCACAAGAGCAATAATGACTTCTATTGATCATTAATGTTGTCACATCATACTTATATTTTCTATAACTTTTATATTGTATGATACAAAAATATTTACGTGTGAAATTTAAAGATATTTACTCAATGAAAAAGCAAAAACTTGTGATAAAAGAATTCCAAGTATAAGCCAGACGCCTGTGGCTCACACCTGTAATCCTAGCTACTCAGGAGGCTGAGATCTGAGATGGCAGTTGAAAGCAAGCCGGGGCAGGAAAGTCCGTGAGACTCTTATCTCCAATAAACCACTAGAAAACTGGAAGTGGTGTTGTGGCTCAAGCGATAGAGAGCTCACCTTGAGCTGAAGAGTGCAGGGATAGTGCCTAAGCCCAGAGTTCAAGCCCCACGACTGACAAAAAAAAAAATTCCAAGTATAGACAGAGAGAAATCAAACCTCTCCTCCTGCATGGCAATCATTAATGAGGTATGATAGTCCAGACATTTGTATATACATAAAATTACTTTTGAATAGATGAGCATACATGCTTTCTTATACAGTTGGGACTACTACAATCTGCCCCTTTCATATATATATATATATATATATATATATATACATATTATGGACACCTTACCACCAAGTACATACAGCTTTCCCTTACTTATACTGAAGTGGCCGAATGGTACTTATTACTTACCCATCTGATTTAGCTAACCAATTGCCCAATGATAGGCATATCTGCTTGCACGCACCCAAATACATTTATAGATTTGGAACTGCTGAGCAGAATGTATTTCTAATTGTACTGTATAACTGGCTTCCAAAGGGAGTATACTATTCACACCTTACCATGGTGTGGGTCTATGGTAATGTCTATTTAACTCATCCTCACTAAACAAGTGAGCACAATACTGTGCACTTAACTGAGCAGTCATGACAACTCTTAACTAAGAGAAAAAGCATGACTCTATCAGAGCTTAAGTGAATAAAGGTATTTGAGAAGCATAAACTTTTCTTGAGAGTTTGTTTGGAGGTTCTAGCAGGGGAGCACAGCTACTCGTATACCTCTGAGCAAAGACCAGTCCACCTCTAGGAGGGACAGTCGTCCTCTTTGACAGAGCACTCAGCTTTGGGAGGGATGCACATGGAGTGGTGAGGGAGGAAGGGGACACTCGCCTCACCAGCCAGATCAGCCAAATCAACTCTGGAGATCACTGGGGTGACAGATGTAGCAGCCAGATTGCCCTCACATCCCCATAAACCTTTCTAAAGGCTCAATAATGTTTGTATATTAGTACCGCCTAAATTTGAGTCAAATTATTTTTCTTCTAGTACTAATCATGCATTTTTTCTGAAATTATAAATTATCTTTTAGATTTGCTTTTGAGACATAGTCTTTTGTTCCCCAGATTAATTTTTGTTGTTGTTGGTCATAGGGCTTGAACTCGGCCTGGGCACTGTCCTTGAGCTCTTTAGCTCAAGGTGAGCACTCTACCACTTGAGCCACAGTACCACTTCTGGTTTTCTGGTGGATTATTGGAGATTAAACTGGACTTTCCTGCCCAGGCTGGCTTTGAACCACGATCCTTAGACCTCAGCCTCCTGAGTAGCTACTATTACAGGCATGTGCCACAGGCGCCCAGTTCCAGATTAACTACTTTTATTAACATACATTAACAGTACAATGAGGTTCCACTGTGATGATTTCATAGATGTCTAGTGATTTTGAGCAAGATCATTTGATCAGTTCATTTGTCCTATCCATCCTCCACTTTTTCAAACAATGTTTGGTGGTTTTCATTAAGTCATTTGTGTGTGTGTGTGTGTGTGTGTGTGTGTGGTTTTCATTAAGTCATTTTCGTGTGTTTGTGTGTGTGTGTGTGTGTAATACATTTCTATCCTCTTTATCTTCCAATAGCCTCTTGTTTCCTCATTCTTCTTCCACTGTGTCCCCTTTTAGACTCTTGTACTATTATCATCAGCATCAGCACTTGACATGTAGCTCTTGATATACAGCTCAGACCAGACTCGAACTTACGATCTTCCTGCTGCATCATCTCTAGTGCAAGGATTATATGTGCATGCCACCACATCTGGCTCTCGAATAAATTATTTTTTCTTTTTGTGCTAATACTGGAGCTTGAACTCAGGGCTTTGTGTACTTGCTTGCCTTTTTTTATGCAAAGCCATCATTTTACCATTTAAGTCACCATCTCTAATAATTTAATAATTAACTAGAAAATGCTCATTTAAAATTCTCAATCAGTAGAAGGAATGGTAGTAAAAAAGATGGATTTTAATAATGCAGCAAGTAAATATTGCTATTCCCTCTGAGGAGCAACGATAGGTGATAGAAGCTGCTTAACTATTTACCTTAAAGCAAGGTTTATTTTTACTGATTATTGTAAGGATTAATTCAAATCTCCACAAAACACCAGTTTCATGAAGTATCCATAATAATGCCTATTACTACTACAAATATTAATATAAGGAAGGCCTGTAGGCACACAGGCAGAAATGATGAAGCTAAAATATTCTTAGTATAATAATAAATGCAGAGAAACTCGTACTGATAACTAGAAGGAAGATAAATTGGGTTTTAATCATTTTTAAAAAAGAACTGATATATTAAGCCATTCCTTTAGGTCTTAGCATTTACATGGCCTATTTTGTTTTTGTTTTTTGACCAGTATTGGGATTTGAACCCAGGAACTTGCCTTCTCCTCCACTTGTTTTTTTCTGTTTTGTTTTTGTTTTGCTGATCCTAGGGCTTGAACTCAAGGCCTGAGCACTGTCCGAGCCCCTTTATGCTCAAGGCTAACATTCTACCACTTAAACCACAATGCCACTTCCAGCTTTTTCTCAGTAGTTTAAAGAGTTTCACAGACTTTTCTGCCCAGGCTGGCTTTCAGTCGTGATCCTTATATCTCGGCCTCCTGAGTAACTAGGATTAAAGGTGTAAGCCACTGGCACCTGGCCCTCCCCTGTTTTGTTTTGATTTTTTTTTTTTTCTATTATGGTTAATGTTCTACCACTTGAGCCAAGCCTCCACTTCTGGCTCTTTGGTTAATTGGAAGGACGATTTTTGCCTGGGCTAGCTTTGAACCATCTTCAGATCTCTCCTGAGTAACTAGAATCAAAGGTGTGAGCCACGAGTACCCAGCTTACATGGCCTTTTAACAAAGAAATCTATACAACGAAAACAAATTTCACTTAACCAGTTCTTAAGTACTTACTCTTAATATAGCAAACTAGGGATAAAATGCTAGAAGAAATCTGTGGTTCACCTGGAGGAGACAGGCAATAAAAAAGCTGAGTGCACTCTCAGTATGCACGGAACTTCCCAACTAGCCAGGTCACATTTAGTTGGGCAAGAGGCAATGCAAATTTATCTGCTAGTTAAGCCAATAGTGGAAGGGTATGCATGGCTTTGAGTAAAATCCTGTCTTACAAGAAAGCATGCCTCATGCATTGCTATAGCTGGACATTTGAGGAAAATGTTTAGGAGGGAAGGTGTGGCAGCAAAATACTTATGATAGGACACAGAGTGCATGCTAGAGAGCTCAGACTTTGTTCACTAGACAACAGGAAGACTATGATACTAAAAGAAATAATCTCATATCTATCTTTCACTAAAATCATACTGGCAACTGAATAAAGAATATATTGGAAAAGCAAAAGACTGGAGCCCCAGGGGATTGAAGGGCTGAGACAGCACTTCTGGGAGGAGGGAACAAAGGAGAGGGAGACAACAACTTCAAGGGAACAATGTGGAGACTCAGGAAAGCAGACAGGAGGGAAAAAGGCCAAGCTTCTGGATGGGGGAGTTCAAAGGAAGAAAATCTTGTGAAGAACTTTTCATTTTTTATTTGTATTTTTGTTGGTACTGAGGTTTGAATTTAGGGTCTTAAATTTTCAAGGCAAACACTCTACAACTTGATCTATAATTCCATCTCTTCAGGCTTTAGGTTATTTCTCATAAAGTGCAATGTATCTTTTTGCCTGGGTTGGCCTCAGATCTCAATGCTTCCCACATAGCCAGAATTATGGATTTGAACCACCATGCCTGGCTTTGTTTGTTGAATCTTGCTAACTTTTTGGCTAACTGACCTCAAACCTGGATCCACCCCAAGTAGCCTGGATTATAAATAAGAAGTTATTATGGTTAGGCATTATCAGGAATTACAAGCAAAGCCTGGAGTAACATTTTGATATCATAGTAAACGAAGGCTTGCTCTACATTTTCTTCAAGGGAAATGTGTTTGGGACTAAATGCAATTGGTCCCCAGGATTGAATCTACCTAACAAAGAAAATATCCACTTTTTCTAGAATCCCTCTTGTTTCCTCATCACAGAAGACACAGGCTCACCACAGCAACTACACCTAATTTTCTGTACCTGGTGAGTATATAAGACTAGAACTAAACTGGTAGATGTGTTATCAATCTTTAACCATGGTCACCTAATGGCTACAAGCTGGCAAACCTAGTCATTTAAAAATTAACTCATCTGCCCTTTTGAAAAGTAGAAATATCAACACTAGGTCTTCAAATGCCACTTTAAATATTTTTGTTTTCGTATTTATGTCTAGTTGATTTTTATCCAAATGTGTATGAACACATGGCCCTCCCCAGCCCTTCACTTACTTTAGAATTCCGATCTTCAGCTGTAACCCGTGCAGCACTTCTGTCACACCATACACATCAGCAAGCAGATGATGTGTGGAAACTATCTTTTTGGCATTGAGATGAGAGTAATTTTCTTTTAAAAATGATAACCCGCACATTCTCCCATTATTCAACCAGTCCTTATCATAACGGTATTTTGCACTCCACCTCTGACCTGTAATGAAGTTGACATTAAAGTCACAAAGGATGCTACTTGTTCAGGTCTCCCTTGCACTGCTTCTCAGAGAGTAAAGCGAGTTTTGAAGCTACCAGTGCATTTACAACCAAAGTAAGACAATGTTGGATGGAGCAATGCTGAGAAAAGGATCCTTCCACATGTCCCATATGTCAGCCTACTTAAGGAGGAACAGCTCCATTTAGGATGTGATCAGAGGCAGACAGACCTGCAAAGGAAACTGATTCTTGCTTTCAGTTTATCAGTCACTTGTCTTCTAAAATGCTAAAAAGGCTGAACAAAAATTACAGGGTTTCTTCTTTAAGTACTATGTCTTCAGATGAAATGGAGTCGAGCAAATAGGAACCTCATTTACATGGCTATGATTTCACAGGATCCTCTATCATCCAACAGACTCAGTGTGAAACACAAATTAGATCCTATTACCATTAGAAGCTCTGTGTCTGTGTCCCTACTATGGGGCATAGTTCGTTTGAATCATTCACTTTTCCACAATAGGGGGCAAATAAAAAGTATCCACAAATGCTACTGGATAAGTGTCCACTTTTTTTTTTTACCGAATAAGCACAGTGAATAGCATATTTCTACAATATATGCTGGTGACTGAAGGAACAAGTGTCTACAAGGTCAGAAGCTTCCCTTGCTTCTATTTTTTTCTTGTTTTTCTTTCATAGGTATACAATCAATTTGTCTTTTATTAGAAATAACTTGTTTTCTGTTTTTTGGCAGAAATTATATGTAAGAAACTTGCTTCTTAATGATTCTCTAGGCATGGAGAAGACACAATAGACCAGAAGTCAATAATCTTGTTCTACCTCAGTCAGCTATGACTACTGCTTCCCCTCGACCCACAGCACACAGCGTTCAGTGCCAGTAGCATAAGATATTCTATGATTATCACTGATCTGAAATGAGTTGGATATGTAGCACTACCAGAAACTTCTTTAAAATCATATCAGGAGAATACAAGTGTAGACTACCAGTCCTTTCAAATCACCATAAATAAGCTTAGTTGAAACTACTACACAGAGATAGACAAAAGCTAGTTCTTTGACAGGAAAAAAACCACATTTTCTCTTTCAGTAATGAGAGGTGACTGTATTGGTACATTAATGCTTAGTGAATATTTGTTTGTTTAAGTCATTAATATAAAACTATAACAGTGAGAACGTATTTGTAGTAAAAAAAAAAAAGTGAAGCAAGAAGTAGCACTGCCTTCTGTGGTGGGTCTTGAATATCACCAGCCATCAGTACATACAAAATATACAGCCCAGCGCCGAGAGCCTACCTGGAGGGTCTCGGCAGATATAGCAGATATACTGCTCCGGAATGCTCTCCTCCAGCAGCCCCATGCACACGCTGTGCTGCCAGCACAGACACTCTTCACACTGCCAGAGAACAGAAGACACATACGGTGTTGTCTGCAATGGGTCCCCACTCCCCAGCAAGGGTCAACGCCCTGCCTTCTAATTAGCTGGCTTGCTTTCTTGACACTGACAGTTCAACTCCTATGCAAATAACAAAAGCAAGTCATGATTTAAGATGTGCTTTAATAAATTACTTAGGTTATAAAATGCCAGAATTCCCCTCCTCTATTGATTTCTGTGGTAACCACTGTTTTTAAAATACCACATTCTCTTAAAAACACTTTATCATCATGTTTTCTTAAAGCATTGAACTGTTGCCTATAGAAATGACCTCTTAAAGTCTATTTGCTAGCTGATCTGCAGTTCCCTTATCTGAGAACACCTCTAACAAACAAGATTACCTTTTCTTTATTCCTGTAACCAGTATCTCCAAATCTTCCACTTTGTCATTCCAAAACACAAGTTAGTTCCCCCCCCCCTTTTTTTTTAACTAGAGATGCCTTTCCTGCAAGGGAAGGATGTTAACCCTTACAACAAGTTTTCCTTTCTTTGAGAAAACAACTTTTTCAATTTCCGCTCACTGGAGGGTGACTATATACAAATTGTTGCACAACATGGATCAGATACTGTGATTTCACTCTTACAAGTAAAGGTTGGCCCATTTTATGTCTAAGAATTTCATCATGGAGGCCTCAATCTAAATACCCTGTAGCAATCTAAAAGTTGTGGCTTTGATGTGATGGCTAGTACAAAGGGGAGGGCATCAGATGCACCTGCTGAGCACTGAAATAATCTGGGACTACCTGGATCATGAAGCCATTCTCTTCATCCATTTCACAAATACATCGTACAATTTCATTAAGAGCATCATCTTCATCCTGAGATTCCTCAAAATTGGTTGAATCAAAATCCTGATTGTACTCATCCCCACTCAGAAGCAAACTCTCTGTTGAAGAGTCATCTAGGAACTCCATATCTGATAAGTCTAGAAGATACATGGAAAGGACACTCAGTACAGTTTTCCATTTCTTATGTCATTTTTCAGAAAGAGAGGAGCTATGAAGAGTGACTGTAAAGTATTAATCATTTTAACAGGGGGAAGACTGATGCTAATAAAATATGTCTCCAGAGAAACAAACAGAGGCTTAGGTAATTCTCTTTTCTATCCTAGTGCATACATCATTGTAATGAACACTAAGTTACATAGATTATGGCTAGTGCTTTAGGAACTATTAAAATCTGTATTTCCTGTAAACTTTCACAAATGTTTTCCTTATGATCAATCATTCGCAAATAGTAGCACTTTTCTGGCTGCAGAGATTAACAACTTCAAAGAAGTGAAAGAGCTTACCTAGGACATAATACTTACTATAATATGAAGAGCACCAGTAGGAGCAAACACCACCACAACATATACACCAGGCACTGACTGAGCACTTTCAATAGGAGATTCATAAGTTGAATGAGTAACACTGCCAGGTAGTATAAAAGCCAACTAAATACTGACAGCCTCATTCTTTTTAAATATAACAGACTCATAATATTTGTTCTTAATTCATCAGTACTCTTATCCCAGGGCCAGGGGTTCCCTAAGGAGTTTTTTTTTAACACTTTAATTTTGATAAACTGCATGCTAAGTGCTCAAAAAGAGGCTTGGCATATATTAGTCATCCACAGTATGAGTGGAAGAGGTAAGGAAGATGAGACAAAGTTTTTAGATTTAATCAGATTAGATATAAATTGGCATCATTTAAACTACGGAAGATTATGTTATTTATATTTTAAATATTGACTATAGAGCTGACATAATCCTTCAGTAGATGTTCATTTAGTACACTGAGACAATCTCAATCCCCTACACCACCAAAAATAAAACATAGTATTTCTTAGTATTCCTTCTATCAGTTTCTAGGACTCAGTGTTTTCCAATGCTTTAGTTTTGACTTATTAAAATTTATGTTTTGGGGGCTGGGAAGGTGGCTCAGTGGTAGAGCGCTTGCCTTGCATGCAAGAGGCCCTGGGTTCCATTCCTCGGCACCACATAAGCAAAAAGAAAAAAGCCAGAAGTGGTGCTGTGGCTCAAGTGGAAGAGTGCTAGCCTTGAGCTGAAGAGCTAAGGGACAGCGCCCAAGCCCAGAGTTCAGGCCCCACAACTGGACCCAAAAAATAAAATAAAAAAATAAAAAAATTAATGTTTTGAAGAAAAATATCCTCATTGATGTCTTAGGATATGTTGGATAAAGGCAGTAGAAATGAGATAATGGTAGCAAAATGCCTTTAAATAGTCAAAGAATCAGAAGTAAACCACGTGTATACAGAAAATTCTCCTAATATTCCAAATATTATATTTATTTTGAAATTTTCATCAATCAATAATCTTGCTGGCTTAAATCCAAAACTAGTATTTTCTCTTGGGATTTTCTTACTACAAGTTTATGTTTTAAAAGAGTAGATTAGGGGCTGGGAAGGTGGCTCAGTGGTAGAGCGCTTGCCTTGCATGCCTGATGCCCTGGGTTCGATTCCTCAGCACCACATAAGCAAAAAGAAAAAAGCCGGAAGTGGTGCTGTGGCTCAACTGGTAGAGTGCTAGCCTTGAGCTGAAGAGCTGAGGGGCAGCGCCCAGGCCCAGAGTTCAGGCCCCATGACCGGATCCAAAAAAAAAAAATAAAAGAGTAGATTAGAATATTGATAAAATATTCATTTTTTATTTTTTAGGCAATACTGGGGCTTGAACTCAGGGCTCTGTACTTGTTAGGCAGGCACTCTACCATTTGATTCATACTTTCAAGCAACTTTTGCTTTAGGTAGTTTTCCAAATAGCCTCATGTTTTTGCTCAAGGCTAGCCTCAGACTATGATGATTCTCCAACCTGTATTTCCCACAAATCTGGGACAGCCATTATCAAGCATCACACTTATTTGTTGTTTGAAATGGGTCTTATTTTTGTGCAGGCTGGCCTTGAACTATAATTCTACTAATTTCCACCTCCCAAATAGATGGGATTACAGCTGTGAACATGTGCAGTAGATAAACAGTTTTAGAAACTGTTGCAACATATATGTGATATTAAGTGAATGACAGTCATATACAATGCTGGACTTAATTAAAACTATATCACTGGAAGGAATTAAGTGTATGAATAAGATTTTAGAATATAAGCACACATATAACTCACAACCACTGGCTAAGTTTTGGGAGCTGAGAAAATTGGTCACTGGGTTAAAAGTTATACCTGAAAAGTAAATCAAGAATATTCTTACTATAGGGACAAGGCTCTAATTGGGTATCACTAGGACACTGGTACTTTTGAACCTCTAGCCCTATCTCCTAAACTATCATTACCAATTTCCTAGCCAGCATTCTCAAAATGACTCTCAAATTCAACAACCTTAACATCACCTGGGTACATGTTAGAAATAAGCAATTCTGAGGGAAGATACAGGAAATGTGCTTAGATGAGTTCGTTGGCTGGTTTGATACATGCTAACTTTTTTCCTTCTAACATTTTTCTTTCTCCTACTCTAGCACTTGGTCAGAAGGGCAGAGCCAAGACAAGAAAGAATCAAGGATGTATATGTATGACTCTTTTCACTGTCTCAAGCATTCTTACTCTAGCCCTGTGGCTAGCCCAGATATAGTCCAATACTATGAATGTTCTTAAGGCAATGCCACAGAATCACATAGAAGCTGTATCTTGACAAGATCTCCACAGAAATGTCAATTAATTGTGTTCTGTGGTAGGACACAGGACTGCTGTATTTTAAAGGAACCATAACACAGACCACTTGGTTCAATTAAGAACCAGTGGCCAAATGGGGAAAAGTGGGGAGGAGTGTCTCTTAGAAAAAGAGAACAGAGGGAAGCAAGAGACTTTTTGTTAATCTTTTCCCCGCTCACCTCGAACTTACAAAAATTAAAATTTCAGAGGCTGGGAAGGTGGCTCAGTGGTAGAGCACTTGCCTTGCATGCCTGAGGCCCTGGGTTCGATTCTTCGGCACCACATAGGCAAAAAGAAAAAAGCCGGAAGTGGCGCTGTGGCTCAAGTGGTAGAGCGCTAGCCTTGAGCTGAAGAGCTGAGGGACAGCGCCTAGGCCCAGAGTTCGGGCCCCACGACCAGACCCCCCCCCAAAAAAAAAAATTTAATTTCAAAAGTGCAATGTGTTTCACAGTAAAGAAAACATTCTTCCCTTTAGTGATCTCAGGGATGAGTTAGTCCTGGAAGAGAGCATGCAGTAATAGTGCAAAATAAAACAGAAGCTATAATCTTCCATCGCAAGAACTCAGAAGGGCAAAGAAAAGAGTAAGCCCAGCCCAGGAAGATTCTAGGGCTTTCCCAAAGATGAAGACCTAGTCCTTTCTTCCTCATTTCCTGACTCTGGTCTGTACTGCATTAGAGTTCTGCTCTCAAGCTTTCCCTCGGTGTTCAAAGCTGAGAGAATCTCTGCTCCTATTGTACACAGTATGAGAAATGGAAGAGTACCTAATTCCTTCCACTGCGATATAGCCTGATGGCTAGACTCCCAAGAACCATTTGATGGATTCCAACTCTAGGCCCTTATCAGCCTGACAAAGTCTTTTGTTTTTGTAAAGGTGTGTAATTCTTGTGTCTGATTTACATACTAACCAGACTATAATCCCAGATCTGTTATAGAAATATCTGTGAGTGGCAATTTAAAGTACATTTTCTTTTCTTCTTTTTTTGCCAGTCTTGGGTCTAGAACTCAGGGCCTAGGTACTATCCCTGAGCTTCTTTGTGCTCAAGGCTGGTGCTCTACTACTTGAGCCACAGTGCTACTTCTGGCTTTTTCTGAGTTGTTTATTGGAGAAAAGAGTTTCATGGACTTTCCTGCCCAGGCTGGCTTCCAACCTCAATCCTCAGATCTCAGCCACCTGAGTAAGCTAGAATTATAGGTGTGAACTACCAGCTCAAAGTACATTTCTAAGATTATGACAATATTGGTAGGAAAGTATTATCTTTGGAGTGTGAATCTTAACTCTCATAATAAAGAAGCTATAGGCTACTTAACCTAACAACTCTGTTTAATCTGTAAAATGTGGGTAAGAATTGTACTTTATAAGTTGGTAGAGAAAAATGTAAGAATATATTAAAAACACAAATAGGAGAATGGAATTATAGTGGGTATTGATATTAATTTTATAACATCTTTTCCCACCACCAAACCAATCTTTACATAAATTAGAATGTAGCTCAAATTTTTTAATATTGAGATTTTTCTATTAAGTAACAACTTTGTAAACTGGGTCTTATGTGAGTGGTCATTCAGTGAAATAGGTTTATTTTCAGCTCCACATTTAGGAATCTTAATTTCATTTTAACCATTACATGTTTACACATACTTTCACCACTAAGGTCAACGGACAGAATGGCCCTTGGGTACTGATAAGTTGTAGTTTTCTCCGTAAACATGCTTCGTGGAGCCACAGAACTCCCAGAAGATCGAGTTAGTGGAGAAGAGCACCTTTCCAAAAATTCTAGGGAACTGTCTTCATAGTCTGAATAGTCTGTAACATAAGATACATAAAGACATATTAGTAAAGTCTCAAGTAATCAAGAGAAGTTGCTACAAAACTGAGGAAGTGACATTTCAAGATACACAAAGCAACCATACCAAAAGCACACTCTCTCATCCATTACCAACTAGATTATGGATCTGATGCAAAGGTCTTGGCAAGAACACTGGGGAAGTCAGTTATTCCACACAGTACACAAAAGTGACACAGGTGAGACTGCAGACTCTAACAGTAAACTCATATGCAGAAATGCAAACAGATTCTACCTTTTCTTCCAGTAAAATCATGATTTATGGTCTGTAGCAATATCTGCAAGATGGAATTAACCTCTATTTTCAATTTCCCATGAAGAAGTTCTTCTGATGTCTAGCACACTGATTATTATAGTGATAATTAGAGCAAAAAAACAAACAAAAATACTCCACCACCTTGAAGGCAATGAACTAGTTCTGGGAAAAGATAACTGTCAAAGTTCTCAGATTAGGATAAGTCATACAGATATAAGAAGGCTGTGATGAGGGAAAAGAAAGCCAGCAGAGGGTGAGATTCTAGATATGTGGGAAGATTCCACAGCCCAAGAGTACACTGCACACTTGACAATCATGATTGCTAGAACACAGTGAGGTAGGAGTATGACAGTTTTCACATTTTAATCTTCAAAGTTTTATCCTAATGTAGTATTTTTTTAATTCACAGGTTATATAAGGGAGAGCAGAATGTCCAGTTATGTTTCTAATAGGCCTCTCAGTAGTAGGACGGTGTAGCAGAGGACACAGGCACATGCAGAGATGGAACACAAGCCAGAGGTATGGCAGTGGTCCAGGTAAGACAGGCTGGTGGCTTACAATGTAATGGTGGTAATGGAGTGAAAGATATAGAAGATGCAAAAACGTTACAGACCTAATGTGGAAAGCAGAGATGGAGCTCCACATTTCTGCTTGAGGAACTAGGTAACACAAATAGGTTTCAGAGGGAGCTAGTCAGTAGATGGAGCTAAGGAAAACAGAGTAGTTTAAAAGAGGGATTTCTTTCTAAGGTTGGGAGAATGTAAGCTCACACATGTAATACTAGCTACTTAGGAGGCTAAGATCTGATGATCAAGGCCTAGGCAGGAAATTGCCAGAAAACTGGAAGTGGTGCTGTGTCTCAAAGTGGTAGAGCACTAGTCTTGAGCAGAAGAATTCAGGGACAGCGTCCAGGCCCTGAGTTCAAGCCCCATGACTGACAAAAAATAAAAAGGGTTGGTGAATGTAATGATACAAGGCATATTTTCCCTTCATTTTAGTAGAGTCTTACATTCAGGTAAAAATGTAGCTATGGATAGACAGGGATAGGTAAGGGGAAACAAAGGAGGAGGCAACTATGCTTGATAAGAAATGTACTCATTACCTTGCTCATGTAATTGTAACCCCTCTGTACGGTATTTTCACAAAAACTTATTAATAAAAAAAAGAAAATCTTTAGTTTCCCCCTTGTATGTCTATTTTCTTAATTGAGTGTGAGGCAAATGCTGGCACTGAGGCAGACTTAAGAACAAGAAAGAGGAAAGAACAGGAAAAAGTGAAGGAAAAAGGCAGGGACACATCTTTATAGGAGAGAAGTAGTAATAAAACTGTTCAGTACAAGCTATCCATTTGAGGCTTGTGGTTGTTGTAGGTAGCATTCATCCTCTGACCCTTACCCCACCTGACCCTGGAACTTGTCAACACTTCAAGTTACATGGAGAAGGGAAACCAAGGTTACAGAAGAAATGAAAATAAGTAGTTAGCTTTAAAATAAAAATATTATAGAGGTTACTTGAATAGGCTTGATATAATCTCAAAGTTCTTGAAAAAAGCAAAAGTATTAATGTCAGAAGTAATATGGGGAAAACTTGACTGGTTAACACTATCTTTGAAGATGGGAGGGAATAAGAGCCCAGAAATGGGACGGCATCTGGAAACTGGACAAGGCAGATACACAAACTTTCCACTAGAACCTCCAGAAAGGAACATGGCCTAAAGATATCTTAGCTCAATGAGATCTACTTGGGCATTCTGACCTCTAGAAGTTAAAGAAAACAAATCCACTAATAATAGAAACATGTGAAAGCAACTATAGGAAATGTACACAAATGACCATCATAAATATTAGAATAGAGACAGGTACTATTGGCTCATACCTATAATCCTAACTACTCAGGAGGCTGAGACCCAGAAGATCATGATCAAAGCCAGCCTGAGGAGGGAAGTCTGTGACATTCTCTCCAAGTAACTAGCAAAGATGCTAGACTAGAGGTACGGATCAAGTGGTAAAGTCCCAATCATGACCAAGAAAGCTCATTGAGATCACAATGCCCTGAGTTCAGAGCATTGACTTGAGTTCAGTTCTAGTACTAGCAATAAATAACCAAACGTACACATGCCAAATTGAAGGCTCTCTGAAGGCTCTCAAAACCACCTCAATAAGGAAGGTTTGGCTGCAAGTGCTATTAGGAAATGAAATAGCTAAAGCAACTGCTCAAGGACACTCAGCTCTTACTAAGCAAAGCCAACAGTCAAACTTATACTACTTGACAGCTTGACTCCAGTATAAACAGGGATTTCAACATTTAATGTGTGCATTACCAGGAAAGCTCTTCAAAGCCCAGGTACTTATGCCTCACTCTCCAGTGGGTGAGAAGTGGGAGTACTGAAGACAACCAAGCTGTTTCTGTGAGGCATTATACTACTCTGCCTCCAGTGGATTCACAGCCATCACAATTTGCTACCACCATGTTATCTAGACAAGGACATAGTAGGGACATATGTTATATATTAAGTAGTGTGTCTGGTACTTCCCAATGATCACATTACTTAATCCTAATGAATGATACAGCAGAAAGTATCATTACCATATTAGAGATGATAACTAAGATGTAGAAAATTTATATAAACTGCTAAATGTCACCCAACATAAATGTTAGATTCAGAATCTAACCTTCAAAGCTACCCATTTTATCCATGAAATCTATCTTGCTCTCTGAAGAAAAGGAACAGAAAGTTCTAATTGTAAAAACAATAAAAAGAAATCACAATTTTGTTCAGATTCTAAAGCAACATTGTGAGTTTGAATCTGCTTTTCACTACTTGGTAGCTTTTTGAGTAGGTCATAGTGTAAAGGCTAAGCATGAAGACTCTGAACACTGACTCACATGTATAAACTCCTCAGACAGTGTTTGGTGTATAGCAAGTACTAACACTAGGGGCTGGGAAGGTGGCTCAGTGGTAGAGCGCTTGCCTTGCATGCATGAGGCCCTGGGTTCGATTCCTCAGCACCACATAAGCAAAAGCTGGAAGTGGCGCTGTGACTCAAGTGGTAGAGCGCTAGCCTTGAGGTGAAGAGCTGAGGGACAGTGCCCAGGCCCAGAGGTCAGGCTCCACGACCGGACCACCCCCCCCCAAAAAAAAGTATGAGCACTAGATGCAAAACAATAAAGAGGTAAATAAAATGGAACAATAAAAAACCCCAAATAACAAAAATGATCCTTAACAAAATGAACAATGCTGGAGGAATATCAATACCAAATTTCAAACTCTACTACAAAGTCATAGTAATCAAAACAGCTTGGTACTGGCACAAGAACAGACCTGAGGACCAATGGAATAGAACAGAAGACCAAGAAATGAACTCATAGACCTATAGTCACCTAATCTTCAATAAGGGAGCTAAAAAAATAGAATGGAAGAAAGACAGCCTCTTCAATAAATGGTGCTGGCAAAATTGGTTATTCTCCTGTAGAAAACTAAAGCTAGATCCTTATATATCACCCTGCACCAGAATCAACTCCAAATGGATCAAAGACCTTGGAGTCACCCTCAAAGTATTACAGGAAGGAATAGGAGAAACCCTAGGGCTCCTTGGCACAGGCTGAAATTTTCTTAATAGAGACCCAGGAACACAACAAATCAAAGAAAGGTTGGACAAATGGGATTGCATGAAGCTGCAGAGCTTCTGCATGGCAAAGGACATAGCTAGCAAGATTAATAGAAAGCCCACGGATTCAGAGAAGATCTTTACTAGCCATACAATGGACAAGGGTCTCATATCTAAAATATACTTGGAACTCAAAAAATTAAATCCCCCAACAACAAATACTCAAAGAAACAACTGCCCTATAAATAAGTGGGCTAAAGATTAAAGAGAAACTTCTCTGAAGAGGAAATAAGAATGGCCCATAGACACATGAAGAAATGCTCAACCTTTCTAGCCATAAAAGAAATTCAAATCAAAACAACATTGAGATTCCACTTCACCCCAGTTAGAATGGCTATAATCAAGAACTCTAATTAAACAACAGATGCTGGAGGGGATGTGGCCAGAAGGGAACCCTACTGCATTGTTGGTGGGAGTATAAACTTGTAAAAGAGAATTTTAAAAATACCTTCCTGCTCTTATTTGTAGACAATAATAATATGAATTTTTAATATTAAGATAATCTTGCTCTAGCAATACTTCAAGTTTGAACTCACATATTTATACCTTCCTAGGATAGAGCAATGTCACTGTTAGTCTTGATTTTTGCTGGTTATTTTATGACATAGTTTCCCCTCTCATTCAGGTATATATGAACATAGGCCATGATCTCCTTGTTTTAGGCTTCCCATCATCACAGAATCATATGCACACACCACGTGTCAGCTTCCCTTCCATGGACATAGAATATGAATTCTTCTTCTGAGACTAGCCTGGGACCATGATCCTCCCAATCTCAGCTTCCATGTAGCTAGGGATGATAGCCATACACCCAGCTTTGGGTTGAGAAGAGGCCTCAAACCATGATCTTCCTATTTTTAGGCCTCCCCTCCCTCAAGTAACTAGGTCTATAGGCATGGATCATCAGCACTTGGCTCAGACTTGAAACCCTGTATTTCCCACTCAAATATCAGTCTTTTAATTTAATCATCTTAGGGAAAACCTCTTTCAAGATAAATGTAAACAGCACACAAAGCTCACAATAAATTCTCTCTACT